TCCAGATTCTCGAACAAACTGTGGAATATGGCGACCTATGTGGACATCATTTCCAAAGCAGCCCCCCAAGGTGATAACGCGGTCGATTTGGATGATTGCCACAACGAAACGGTACTATTTACACACGTTACAATATGTTTTAATTTAGGACAAATGGCTCCTCTCTCGATATCACCGTACCCTGGATACGGTAGCCGAGTCGATCGATAGAATGGAACTCAACCAGGCATTCCAACGACTACACGAATTTCTACTCGCCGATCTCTGTGACGTGTATTTGGTACGGGTTTTCAAAGCTGTTTTCGATTTTAAGGAAATTGGGAATTTTACGGTTTTCGAAAAGTGTTTTATTTTTTATAGTTGGGTTAAATTTAGCGCGGAAAGTCGATTTTAAGACATTATTTAAATTTTTTGAAGAGGATTTAATGATCTTTTCAAGAACCCTTGAAGCGACGGTATTTTTACTTTTGGCAAAAATGCATAAAAATGTCCAAAAAAGACCAAAATTTTCGATTTCGAAGTTTTTAAAATAAATTTAGATTTAGCTGTTTAGTGATTTTAATTTTTTAAGGCATTTTCTGAATTTTTGGTGTTTTAAAGGAGCGTTGAAGTCACAAAAACCTATGGCTTTTTCAGGAGACGACAAAATCGGCGTTGAGAAGCGGGGATAAGAAGAGACTGGCGGAGATTCGAGCGACATTCAGCCATGTGATCCCTGGAGTACTGGCCCAACTGTCCGTCTTCATGCCGTTCGCTTCTGAAGTGATCTACGAACAAGCCGCTACCGTTACCCACCGCCAGTCCATACACGCCATTATTCTAAAGGTATTTTTGATTTTTCAATGATTTTTAGTAATTTTTAACCAAAATAAAGTGGAAAACTGCCAAAAATTTTTGGAAAAACGTTGAAAAACCCGAAAGTTACGTCATTTTGGATCCGAAAAAAATGGATTTTTCGACTTAAAATTCATTTCTTATTTTTCTCTGATTTATTTATATAATCGATTTTAAAACGACCTTTTTCAGTCTGACCCGACCCGCCTGGACCCGGTGGCCGAAGCGAAGATGGCGAGCACAATGGGCATCGTGAAATCCCTGCGATCCCTCCGTGAAGTATTCCAATTTGCTCGCGACAAGAAGACGCCTGGTCAGTTAGATTAATTGATTTAAACTTTAAAGTATGTTGAATTTATTTAAAATTTAAATTAATGTTTTTAAAATGTAAATTTAAAAAATTAATTTTAACATTAAATTGAATTAATTTATGTTAATTTAAGTAGTTAATTTTTATGATGTAATTTTAATCAATTTTGCACTATTTATAATAATAAAAATTACAATTTAACTATAACTTTTTTCAGGAACGCTCTTCTACGACTCAGCCCAAAATACGCCGAAAATCGTGCCAGAAGTCGTCGAATCGCTCTGCGGATTCAAGCCCGTTTTTGTGGGTTTTTCTATCGCAATTTTTACCTACTTTATTTTAGGCGGAAATCGACGCCTCGAAGAATGACATTGTCCCCTTTACCGTACCCAATCTTCCCGGGAGTTTTGCCATCAAAATACAGGTCCCAAAAAATTATTTTATGTTTTATTTGATTGTTTTAGGCAGAGAAACAGGCGAGCTACTTGGGATTGTTGAAGGAACGGCTGTCGAAGAATGATGAGAGGGTAGAGAAGCAAAGGGCTCTACTCGACCGATTCAGACAGATTGCACGCACCAATATCGCCAATGAAAAGGTACCTTAACAAAATATGAAAATAGAAATTTTTCGATTTTTCGTCACAATTTTCAAAAAAATTTGACATTTTTTGCAGTTTTCGGTTTTGAATACGGTAAAATTTACTAAGAGCCTTATTAAATTAATTAACTTGTCATTTTATTTTTTGCTGGTACTTTTGCAATATCGGGGGGAGCTTTTCCGGTTTTCTACAATTTGACAAGTGCCTGTTGCCAATGGTTTTTTGCACGCCAAAAACGTTCAAATTTTTATTTATGAATAAATACAAAAATTTCGATTTTTTCGAAAAAATTTCCAAAAAACTTGGAAATTTTTGTTAGTCTTTTGTTTTAAATATCGTAAAATTTACTCTGAAATATTAAAATTATTTCCATTAGATTACGAGGCGTTACTAGTAATAGGCAAGAAATTGCGTCCCCCGATAATGCCAACGAACCCCATATTTTTTCAATTTAGGTACGCGCCGATCGAAAAGCGAAAGACGCGAAACTCGTCCAAAACGCCGAGGCCAAGCTGCAAATCCTGGAGGAAGAAGTGAAGAAAATGAGGGCACAGCTTTATTCATAATTCTTTATCGTTTTGTTTTGCCGATTTGTTTTCTTTGAATTGTTATTAGGAATGTTACGTACGATTAGAATGTGAGAATTACTAGGAGAATTGTTTTGTTTTGATAGATATTTCCCTTCTTTTCACGTGTCTATGATATAAAAATGGAATTTCTCACTTATTATACGGGTCAGCATCTAGAATATATTTCTTTCCTTGTTTTAGCCATTCTCGTGCTAATTTTACGATGAATAAACACGTTTATACACCAAACAAAACGAGATCACGAAGCAGACTTTTTAACTTTTAGAGGGCGAATTCCCGGAAGCGCCCCATCCAGTGCTCGATCTCTTCGGCCGACAATTCTGGTGGGAATTCATCGATATCGGGCAGGACACCCCTCTCCTCGAAGGCTTTTGCGAATTTGTAGACGTGACGATACGAGGGATCAATCTAAATATAATGGTTTTAAAAAATCGAGCAAATCATACCGGATATAAGAGATCTTGATCATCAATAAACCTCCCATTCTTCGTCATTCCCCAGATCGATCGACGCTCGCCTTTCGGACGCCAGATCTACAAAAGCTCAATTCTAGGTACTTTGCAATTTTTCTGCGATTTCTAAACGTAAAAACTTTACGAATCTTCGGCTAACAAGTGCAAAAATATCGAATAGGAATACTTCCAAATTCTACTCTTTCCAAGCTTTATTCTCACCGCATCCGTCAGCAAGTCCATCTCCGTAGCGCCCTTGTTGTACTTGTTGAACTTGCTGCATTCCTCTCTCAGCTTCTCCTTCGCATCGCCGGCCAATTTTGGATTTTTCAGCGACAAACGAGATGAGATGGCCTGAAAACCATACTTTCACCCACGCAAAATAAAAAGCTCACCATCAAATTGCGGATGGCGCGCAGGGAATCGACGTTTCGTTGATAGCTACCCAGGCATCGACCACTAAATATAGTATTTTGAAGATAATTAGAATGTGCACAAACCGTCTGAAATTATATTCGCAGCGTAGAAGGTAGAAAGAGCGACCAACGGGATCGTAGTGGGCCAACAACGCTTGTCCCTAAGATCATTCATACAGGAAACTGAAAAAACGTACATCAGTGGCCCTGAGAATGAGATACATTCCCTCGTAGGTTCGATCAACCCATCCGAAATCCGAGCACACGAGGAACGGAATCGTCTTGATGACTAAAAATGTATATTTTAAGACGCTTTCCGCCTTACATGTCTCGAATTGAAAGCTAGCAGCCGGCAGATCGGTGTCGTCGCAGAACTGGATTTTCTCGATCTCATCCGTGCCGGCCACCCATCTCTAAAAACCTTTTGATAGCAGGAAATAAATGGGGGATTTCTTACCCAAATTTTTCGCCTCAGAAAGTCGAATACGGGCTGGTGATCGGTTTCGGCGCGTCCAAACTTCAAATCTTTCGCCCGAAGAGTGTTTAGCCATTCGACTTTTCCGAGATGTCGACCAATATGCAGCTTCTCCATCGAACAGAACTACCAATTGACATGAGTAGATTGTGATTATCACTAACCAAAGGGTCGGATAGACATTTGATACTCTCGGCCGGGACTAGCGGGTCGAACAGCCGACCACAACTCATTCCCGTCATTTGGAAGCTCGCTGAAAAAAATTCACATTGAAAAAGTGAAGAATTCGTACCAAAAATCGGCTTCACTTCCTCAAGTGTGGTGAGGTAAAGGCAGTAGACATGCTTCGCTTTCATATGCAAAGATTTCCAGAATTGGCTGCCGTAGGTAAATTCAGGACCGTAGAACTGAAAATTAAAAAAAATGATAATGGTCATAAAAAGCACATAAATTTTTGGATTTTTAAAGAAATACGTACCTCTCGAACGGTAGAATTTGTGAGAAGGAGTCTGAGGTGAGCTGAGAAGATAATCGCCATTTCCATGCTCTCACAGCCTTTGATCAGCACCGCAGAAGGATTGAGGTTGTAGAGAAGACGCGCCTCTTCTCTAAAAACAATTCATAACTACTTTCCGGTTCTTTTGCATTGACGGGGGGACGGAAATCTTCTTTGGATCCAATTTGCCAAAACTTTACAAATTTTGATTAAAAAAATACAAAAAATATGGCTTTTCAACCAAAAACGGCCGTTTTTGACGAAAATTTCGAATTTTTGAAAGAGTTTTTGGTATTTTTCCAGCGCAAAGATAGTTTTTTTGAACTAATAACTCTACTAAAATTGTTCCTATTAAGTTACCAGCCAATTCTAAACGCAGACGAAACATTCAGTTGCCCGATAATGCGAAAGAACCGAATTTGGAAACGTACGGAGTACAGGAAGAAGGATCCACTTTCAGCGTTGCCCATTGGAGGCGATGAGGGCCAGTTGTGAAGCCGTAACCGCCGAACAGATCCGAGCTGACGGTTGTGTAGTGTTTTGGCGTCTTTTCGATAATTTTCCACATACGAGAGGAAACACCGGCCAGTTCACTGTAATCAGTCGTGTTGAGAAATCCGAGAATTGTCTCCATCACTTTTGGCGGAAGTTTGTTCAGCATTGTTTACCTGAAAATCAGAAGTTATAAGTGGGATTTATGTAAGAGAAAGCAAAGGAAAAGCGGAAACGCCAAAAAGCACAATTCCAGTTTGTAAAAAGCTCAATTCACGGCAAAATTCGAGAAAAATTCCTTCGAGGTGCGTGTCGTTTGCGTATTTGCTGGAAAACCGAATGATTCAAGAATAACAAAGATTTATTAACGACATAACAAAATTAAAACGCAAAATAACAACAGCGAAATGAAATCCTACTATATATAAAAAAATAGTGTCTGTGTGTGTGTGTGTCTGTGTGTGCCACTTTGCATCCACTTCCGGATGTCTGTCCGGAGGATATCTCGATAGGGGATGAATTTTAAGGTATGTATGATACGTCATTAGATGCCTAATGGCCTGGAGATGACTGCACGCATATCAGGTTTAACAAAATCACCTATTTTCGACATTAAATTTAAGTTTTTGTGAAAACCTCTTTGTTAGGAACAATTAGCGTAGACCGGAAGTGGGGATTCGACTATATAAAGGGGCTAAACAGGTACTTTTTCATTTTTTGTTATCTGAATTCAGGAAAATTATGCAAAGTGAAGGATAAAACGGGGTCAGACGGGGCCAGGGTTGAAAAGTCGCGAAGCGGCTTTTCAACCCTGGTCAAAATTAAAAAGCTAATTCGGGGAAGCGCTGCTTCCAATCCTCAATTTCCTTGGCATCGGCGGGCTTGAATTCGTCGATCTCTGGCAGAACACCAGTTGTTTCAAAAGCCTTGGTGAATTTGTAGGCGTGGCGAATCGACGGGTCGACCTGGAACAATAAATACCCGACCTGGACTAACAAATACCGGATATTTATCCTCGGGAAGGAGATGATCATTGAACAATCCCCAAACCGATCGACGCTGTCGCTTCGGACGCCAGATCTAAAAACAAATAACTGAATGCCATTCCCCCTCACAGAATCGACGAGTAGATCCATCTCCGTGGCGCCCTTATTGTACTCGTTGAACTTGATGCACTCCTCCTTCAGCTTCTCCTTCGCATCGGCGGCCAATTTCGGATTTTGTGTTGATAGACGCGAAGAAAGGGACTGGAAAAAGACAGTGCATTTTGAAAGGAACACTCACCATCAAATTTCGAATGTTACGAAGGGTTTTTCCGTTTTGCTCATAACTACCGAGACATCGGCCACTAAATACAACATTTTCCAGATCATTTGTAGAATGGCACAAACCGTCTGAAATTGTATTCACATCCAATCAGATAGCAAGAGCGACCAGCATTATCGTAGTACGCCAATAGCGCTTTTCCCTACAATTTCACAACTTTTAATAAAAATGGAAAACGTACATCAGTGGCCCTGAGAATGAGATACATTCCCTCGTATGTACGATCAACCCATCCAAGATGCGAGGGCACCAGAAAAGGAATCGTCCTGATGTCTAAAAAGAAGAATTCTATGAATAAGATTTCTTTCCAACATGTCTCGAATTCAATGGCAGCAGCAGGTCCACGTCGGTCGTCGTAGAACTGGATTTTCTCGATTTCAGCCATACCGTCCAACCATTTCTGAGAGGTTACAATAATAGTAGAATCGGAAAGAACCCCACCAGAATCTTTCGCGTCAGAAAGTCGAATACGGGCTGATGGTCGGCTTCGTTGCGTCCAATCTTCAAATCTTTCGCGCGACAATGGTCTAGCCATTTCACTTGACCCAGTAGTCGACCAATATGCAGCTTTTCCATCGAGCAGATCTAAAGTTGACATTCAGAGAATAGAATAAACCGAGATGCTTTCGTTTTCGACGACTAGCATTTTGCACGATTTTATCAAGCTCAGCACCAACCACTGGATCCGACAGGAATTTGATGGTGTGCCTCGGGTTGATGTCCGTCATGAACAAGATACTACACTCGAACTCGGAGGGACGCAATCTAGCTGAAACAAAAGATCAATACCGAAGAAGTATTACCGAAAATCGGCTGCACCTCTTCGAATGTTGTGAGGGAAAAGCAGAAGAAATGCTTCACTTTCATGTTCAAAGACACCCAAAATTGGCTGCCGAATGAAAACTGTGGATCAATGAGCTGAAATATGTGTTTATGTGGCCAGGAAATACGAACCTTCTGCAATGTGGAGTTCGCGAGATAAAGCTTTATGTAGGACGAGTAGCTAATTTTCGCCGCTTTGTCATTGCCGGGGAAATTGGCCACTACTTTGGGAGGTCGAAGCTTGAAAGGGAGACTACGTCTCAAAAATTATTTGCTAAATAAATTAAAAATTAGGCATACGGAACCTCAATCTGTGTCTCCGGCTTATTTTCGTATCCAGTTGACGCGCTGAAGCCCATCATGAAGCTGACGAATGTGTAGTGTTTCGGCGTCTCTTCCACAATTTTCCACATTCGAGGGGAAACACCGGCCAGTTCTTGATAATCCTTAGAATTGAGTCTTCCGAGAATTGTCTCCATCACTTTTGGGGGAAGTTTGTTTAGCATTGTTTACCTGAAAATGAGAGATTAATTATGCTATCCTGGAAAAACAGCGAAGCAAAAGATAAGCGAAAAATTATGAACGCTTCAAGGTATTTCTTCGAGATCTGGTACCGTGAAAATCGAACAAACTAAAAATCACAAGCATCTGAAGTAGCGCCGCTTTAGCAACCGGTCAAAACGTGTTTTTCTCTGAAAAACAGGCTCGTGCATCTTGGATTTCTAACAGTTTATCAAAGAAAAGACAACCGGCGGTATAACAATGTGAGAAACGAGCAAAAAAGCAGAAAAACAACAACATAAAAAACACGCCTTTTTTGCGAATTCTAGGTATCAATTCTAAACAAACAAATCGCTATAGGCCATTGCCCAAATTCGGTTATAAAGGTCGGGTACGGGCTGGAATTCGTCGGCTTCCGGAAGCACACCCCTGGTCTCGAAGGCCTTCGTGAATTCGTAGGCATGGTTCAGCGAGCTGTCCAACTGGAAGAAATATCTCTAATTGATCTCTTACCAAAACTAACCGGATAAGTGGGACTCCGAAAAATTTGATGCAGTCCTTTCACGAATAGGGCCCACGGAAAGCGACGCTGGCTTCGTGGACGCCAAATCTGCAAAAAACGGCGGTTCTTTCGCATTATCGGGGGGAGCTTTTTCTTAGATTCCGATTTTTCTAAAATCAACAGACAAAGTTTTTTACTATTCCAAACGTCAAAACTATCCAAATTTCGATTACAAAATATTAAAAACCTATCAATTTTTGACCAAAATGTGTTCGTTTTCAGAATTTTTAGATAGTTTTCTGGTTGAAATATAATACTATTCTACGAAAAACATCATAAAAATACTTTTTATTGAGTTATTAGACATTTCTAGACTTTTACCAAAAAAGCTAGGTCCCCCGATAGCGCGAAAGAACCAAAAACACAATTTTCTAACTTTTACTAAAATTCTTTTCTTACCGCATCCGTCATCAAGTCCATTTTTCTGGCGCCCTTGTTGTAGTCGTTGAACTTGATGCACTCGTCCCTCAGCTTCTCCTTCGTCTCCACGGCCCGTCCAGGATTTCGCTTGATGAGGAGTTGCGATTTGGCCTAGAAAAACCGGACGTTTTTATCGTAACTTCTCGCATACCATTAACTCACTGATCCTCGCCAGCGCCTTTCCATTTCTCTCGTAACTTCCGATGCATCGACCGCTAGAAAATGAAAATAGCTCCGAAAAACTGATGGTGCTCACCGTCGAAAATTGTACTCGCAACCTATCAAACACATCGAGCGATTTTTCTCATCCCAGTAGAAGATCAAGGCTTGTCCCTAAAAGATATTGATTGCATTTAAAAGACAATACTCACATCACTGGCCCTGAGAATGAGCTCGATTCCCTCGTATGTCTGATCAACCCATCCCATTTCTGGGCTCAATTGCTCTGATATCTGGAATATCCATTCTTGCATATCTGAAAATCAAAAAATCATCGCTTATTTATATTGGTTACATAGTTTCGCGTCTGGAACGTTAACCCCGATGTCGAGTTGCACTTTATCGATCTCATAAACGCCTTTCATCCAGGCCTAAATAATAATCGATTGAGAAAACCGGAAATAAGCAACATACGAACACTCGAGTCGCCACGAATCCCATCAGGGAGTCCCAATCAAAAGTGGCCGGTCTGTCAAAGGTATGAACGAGCAAATCCTTTGCTGCCATAACATGGAGCAGGTCGAGCACTTGCACGTTCAATTCAATATGGACCATCTCCAACGAGATCACCTTAATGATATTCATCGAGCTAACCACAAGCAACGCACCATTTCACTGTGCAGAAACTCGACAGATTCCTCTGGTTCTTTCTTCGCATCAAGCGCAAAATTGTCGTGGATGAACTGGGTGGGCTTGAGGTGATCTGGAAAAGAATCTGAATAAAACCTAATCCCCTTACCGATAAACTCTTGAAACTTTGCAAATCCTTTCCATTCGATTGGGTTGGTGATTCGCGTCACTTTCATATTCAACGAGAACCAAAATTCATTGTCAAATGACATTGGAACGTTGTAGAACTGAAATTACACAGGTAAATACGAGATTTGCACACAAATACTTACGACTTTAATTGAAGCATTTGTAAGGAAGAGACGAAGATAGTTTGTTCGAGCAATACACTCATTCTTGTCTCTACAACCAGCCATTGGAACCGTTGGGCCATCATCTTTCATTCCCCACCTAAAAAATAGAAATTTAGCTTCTTTTTTAAGGGGGTTTTCTATTTATAAAAACCACTTAAAATGTAAAAACGAACGCTGGGATCTGGTAGAGGCCGAGGAGCATGTTCAGAGGCGGCATCGGGCTATTTTCCTGACTGAGAGTGAGACCCCATTGCCTCGGATTCGTATTGACAGCCACAGTTCCATACTTCTTCGACGTTTCTACCACAATTCTCCACATTCGAGGCGAAACATCGGCCAATTCGAGGTAGTCCCTTGGATCGAGTAATGCCAGAATATCCGCCATCACCCCCGAGGGCAGCTTGTTTAGCATTGTTTGCCTGGAAATTGTGTATTATCAGCCTGCGATGGCCTGGCATTTTATGACCCGATAATTCACGATATATTAGCGCTCATCTAAAAACTGGCAAATCAATCACTTACATAACAATTTATCAGCGGTAATTGAAGGTGTAACAATGTGAGAAAGCAAGGAAAAGACATCAACTGAATGAAATAACATCGACAAACATCAACTCTGTGGAAGAAGTAGCAAAATTCAAAAACAAAACAATGGGTACATCATCTATCGGCAAATTTCGACAAGTGGTTCTTCCACAAAATTTCTTCCTCAACTGCAGGCTCAAATTCGTCGATTCCAGGCAGTTCTCCTCTCTCTTCAAAGGCCTTTGTGTATTTGTAGGCATGGCGAATCGCGATATCCACCTAAAAACGTCTCATCAATTTATTCTCTCCCCCTCACCGGATACTTTATCGGCACGCTCAAGCAGTAATAGTTCCTTCTCCAAATTGACCGCCGTTCTCCTTTTGGTCGCCAAATCTATAAAACCATAAAACAAACTAAGATGCGCTCCTACCGCATCCGTCAACAAGTCCATCTGCGTGGCGCCCCTGTTGTACTCGTTGAACTTTATGCATTCCTCCTTCAGTTTCTTCATCGCATTTTCAGCCAGTTCTGGGTTTTGTGCTGAGAGACGGGAAGTGATACTCTAAAAAGAGGATCATTGCAACGTGCCGTTAGCTCTACCATTAGGCTGCTGATCCGAGCGAGGGCCTTCCCGTTTCGTTCCCAACTTCCGAGGCAACGCCCACTCAAAGTTATTGTTTTCTATTGATTTACAAACACGGCAAACCGTCTGAAATTATATTCACATCGTATCAGAGAGATCGAGGCGTCCTCGTCGAAATAGACGATCAGTGCCTGCCCCTAAAATAACTTCTTAAGTGGGTTCTTTCGCATTATCGGGGGGGGGGGGGGGGCTTTTTCCTAGGATCTAATTTTTCAAATATAAGTAGTGGAAGTGTTTCTAAATAGCGTTGGCAATTCATAAACGTGAATACTTTACAAATTTTATTAAAAAATATAAAAAATACCGATTTTTCGACGAAAATTTTGACTTTTTAACAAGAAGATTAAAAAAATTATTAAAAGACTTGCTATTAGTTACTAGGAATTTCTAGACCTATACGAAAAGCTCGGTCCCCCCGATAATGCGAAAGAACTCTTTAGTGAATAAAAAAAGAATGCTCACATCGCTTGCTCTGAGTATGAGATACATTCCATCGTATGTTCGATCGATCCATCCGAGATGTCGAGGATAGACAAATGGAAGGGCTTTCAAGACTGTAAAAACGTTTCATTAAACTGATTCATCTCCTACATATCTGAAATTCCATAGAGCCCTTTGAGAGAATGTTCGAGTCCACAGTGTTTATTTGGATTTTGTCGATTTCTTCCGTGTCGCTCACCCATTTCTAAATAAAATTAATAATTCTGGATCAAGCTGGTACCTGAATCTTTGACGACAAAAATTCGAAGATTGACTGCTGCGCCATTTTGGTGTCATGTCCAAGGCCCACCAGCCGGATCATCAAATCTTTTGCGCGAAATCTTTTCAGGAATCCAACGGCATCAATGTAGCTGAGGATGTGCAGCTTCTTCATCGAATAAATCTAAGATCGCTCTTGACAGTTCTTTTCAAATATTAACCCACCAACGGGTCTGACAATAAACTGCAGCCCTGCTGCAATGCAAACAAGAAGTTGCCTTCAATGCGAAACAAATGAGTGCATGTGAAGCCGGTTGGCCGGAAGTGATCTATAAACAACTCATAAATACCAACAACGATTCGTACCGAAAAATTGATGCGCTTCGGTGTATGTTCTGAGGTGAATGGCGGAAAGGTGATCCACTTTCATATTCAGGGAAAACCAGAATTCGCTGCCAAACGAGAATTCCGGGTCGTGAAGCTAAAAAGAACATTTTTTGCTTGGAAAACGAGAAATGTATCATATTAGTATGATGTATTGAGAAATGGTACCAGAAACGAACCTCTTGAACCGTGGAATTTGCGAGGAACATTCTGAGGTAGCACGTGTAGATAATTCGAATCTCTTCGGCTTGATCGCTTTTGATTAGCACGAAGGGAGGATCAAGCTTGAACGGCAGCGAAAGCTCCATATCCAGCACCCTGAACAATAATTTTTCTTGGGATTAAATTTTTCCCACACAAATAGCGGAAGTATTTCTAAATTGTTTTTTACTATTCCTAAACGTGAAAACTTTGCACATTTGTATTAAAAATACAAAAAAATATTGGATTCGTCGATTAAAAATTGCCCTTCTCGACCAAAATCTCAACTATTTCGAAGTTTTGCTAATGGAATATAGTTTTATTTTACTAAAAATATGGTTAAATACTTCATATTACGTTACCAAACATTTATCGACTTGTGCAAAAATTTCGCCCACCCCCGATAACGCGAAAGAACCGAAAAACGCACTCTGCGGGGTTTCGAGGGATTTGATCCAACATAACCTCGCTCATTGTGTCGGGGTCTGTCGCGAAGCCGAAGAATTCAACGCCACCGTCAACACGACCGTACTTCTTCGGCGTTTCCTCGACAATTTTCCACATACGCGGGGAAACACAGGCCAAATGCATGTAGTCTTCGGCGTCGAGCAATCCGAGAATTGTCTCCATCACTTCTGGGGGAAGTTTGTTCAGCATTGTTTACCTGAAAACTTTAGGTTAATTGGACATTGAGTCGAAAAATCGCTCGAAAAATGGATCAGACGGTGTCAACAGCTTATAGTGGCGTCTATAAAACTTCAACAGAGCCAATTTATTCACCAAACGTACAAAAAAGCTATATTACTTTCGCTACGGGTCTATTTTGGGTGCTCGACGGGCTGGAAGTGGGCGATCTCGGGTAGAACACCTCTTTCGCCGAAGGCTCTCACAAATCGGTAAGCGTGCAGAACGGCAAAGTCTACCTAAACACATTTTTTGAATTGTTTAAAACGAAATCCACATTTTTCTTGTTTAAAACTAAAAAAACAGTGCTAACTTACGCGATTGACGTTATCGTGGAGGATGAAGTCGTCAATTAATCCCCACGGCGAACGCCGCTGGCCCTTCGGACGCCAGATCTAAAATTACTCAATTTAAAGGCTTCTTCAAAGAAAACCTACCCAATCCATCATCAAATCGACCGTCGTGGCGCCCTTGTTGTACTCGGTGAACTTGATGCACTCGTTTCTCAGCTTCTCCCGTGCATTTTCGGCCAATTCAGCATTTCGCTCTTGTAGCTGCGTGGAAAGACTCTAAAATTATCCATTAACGATTGAATTATCTGCGAAAAACGGACCATCAGCCGGCAAATCCGTCGCACCGACTCCTCATTCCTCTGATGACTTCCGAGGCATCGACCCCTGAAATTAAACCTTTTTTTTAATAGAAAACTATAAATTACCGTCTGAAATTATATTCGCATCGTATCAGGTAGAAATATCCGTCCGGTTCGTCCCAAAATACCAGCAACGCTTGACCCTAAAACATTCCCATCGTTTTATCGCAAAATCCTCACATCACTGGCCCTTAGAATGAGTTCCATTCCCTCATATGTGCGGTCGATCCACCCAATTTCGGTCGTCAGAGTAACCGCCACCTTGTCAACCACTAAAACACATTCAAAAAAAGCTTAGATTCGATTTACAGCTGTTGAACAGCGTCTGCGCTCCGGTCTCCTCCTCGCCAAAACATATCTGAATCTTGTCAATTTCCGCCTTCCCGTGCAGCCAATCCTAAAAAACTGCAAATTTTATCGGATTTTCCTTACCGAAATCCTGCGCAACAAAATGCCGAAAATTCTCCTGAATTCAGCCTCGGGATCGATGCTGGTGATGCCGATGAGCAAATCTTTGGCCCGAACGCCTCGTAGATATCGAACATCGCCCATCAGGCCAAACATGTGCAGCTTTTGCAGCCCGCGGATCTAAAATAGTGGATTGCGAAGACGAGAGAAGCACTCACAAATCCGCTCTGCAAAAAAGCCAGGCATTCGGGCAGCCGCGTCACAAAATCCACGAAGAAATAGTGGTAGATCAGATCGGTGGGTTGGAAATGCTCTAAAAAAGAGCTGCTAATAAATAGACACGTTGTACCAAGAAACTGCCGCAGTTGAGAGATTCTTGCGGCGCCCCTCGGTTCAGTGATTCGCGTCACTTTCATATTCAGCGCGAACCAAAATTCGTTGCCGAAAGAGAGCGGCGCGTCGGTGAGCTGAAAATTGTATTAGAAAACACAACGTATCTCCACCTCGCCGATGGTCGAATTCCGAAATAAAACTCTGAAGAAGAGCGTGCGGTAAACAGCTCTTTTCTTGTTCGTACAGCCGGCCATTAATTCAAGGGCATTGCCATATTTGGAAGATGGCGAACTAAAGAAAGCTAATGTAAAAATGGTTTTCTTACTCCATTTGTGAGATCATGGCGTCAATTGGGAGGATAAATGGCTTGACGGGTTCGGGGCTAGGCAGGAACTTCAGGCACAAAGCGTCATCTTTCATAATACATCGAACAACTCCATATTTCTTCGGCGTCGCTTCGACAATTTTCACCATTTTTCGAGACACGCCGGCCAGCGTCAAACAGTCCAACGGGGTCACGAAAGACAAAAGTGTTTCCATGGCGCGAGGCGGAAATTGGTCCAGCATTGTTTATCTAGAAATTGACAGGTTTTCGACGTTTAAAAACAGAGGAAAATAATGGTGGATTCGATCAGTCTTTTTTCTGCTTCACGCGGCTCTAACCAATTTGAGGGTAAGTCCATCATCTAAGAAATTTGGTAAAGAACCGAAGCTGTGTTGTCGTGCAACAGTTTTTCTTACTTACTGGAATTTACTGCAATTGCCTCGTAGTAAAATTTATATTTTTATTGTGTTTTCATTGTTTCCGATTACTAAAATATTTTACAAACTTTTAAAAAAATCAGGCTTTTAAGTTTTCGTCACTTTAGTTCATTTTTCAGAGATCTTTTGAAGTTTCATAGTTTTTCAAACTGTTTAATTTTTTAAAAGGCCGTTCGCGACTCATCCGAACAGACCCTATTATGACTTGGCACAGTTTTTTCCGACGCAATTTTTATGACGTCATCTGAAAGAGCGTGGTCGAATTAGTAGGGTGGTATGGTTTTGAAAGTTTAAAAAGTTTAATTTTGGTGTTAAAATGGGCCTCAAAGCTGCCACCTTCGAAAAACTAACTTGAAAACGACTAAACCAAGCAGGCCGAAAGTTTGTGTCAGTACCTAATTTGGGGTGGGGAACATTTCTCTAATACATTGTAAAGCATGAAAATGGCCGGAACATAGTTAAATGGCGTACTAGAAACAGTTTTTCGACATTTTCAACATTTTAGGGTGATTTGCGAAAGCTGACTATTACACCAAAAGATGCGCCATATCTTTCTGCATCGAATGGTGTATAGCTTGTCGAGCGCGAACCACCCTAAAAATTAGTTTTATTCGCTTTTATGTGTGAAAATGTGGCTAAAAATCACCACGAAAAACGAAAATTTTTGATTTCGGAAAATCTAAGATATGGGATGGCATCTAGAGACCGAGGCGAATCGATTGCAAAAAGAGGCAAAAAGAAATTCGGCTTCTTTCGATGTCGTGGAATCGAACCCGGACCCTCCGCCTGGGAACCCTGTGGCGCAATAAGTAGAGCGGCCGCGTGCAAATCCAGAGGTGGTGCCAGTTCAATCCCAGCCCCCTCACAGAAGCCGAATAAAAGCGAAAAAGCAAGCCGAAATTAGGTACTGACACAAACTTTCGGCCTGCTTGGTTCAGTCGTTTTAAAGTTAGTTTTTCGAAGGTGGCAGCTTTGAGGCCCATTTTAACACCAAAATTAAACTTTTTAAACTTCCAAAACCATACCACCCTACTAATTCGACCACGCTCTTCAGATGACGTCATAAAAATTGGGTCGAAAAAACTGTGCCACGCATTGTTCGGGTGGCTCGCAAACGGTCTTTTAAGTCCTGCGTTATATTACCCGGTTGAATAAACCATTCATACATATAAGTCACAGGTTTTATTTCTAAAACGGCGCAAATTTGTCTTTATCCCCCCCCCGCTAACAACAAAGCGCACTTTTTATTTTAGATTTATAGAGATTTGCATGCAAAACGTCTGCGCCTCCCACCAGGCCGCGCTCTCTAACCAGAACTGCATGCAAATTTTTCCACGTTTCATGGAAAAAACCGGCGCTGCTGAAAGTGCCCCTTTAATCCCGGCCCCGTCTGATTTATGATATTTTCCACCGCGATTTTCCACGAGAAATAATCAAAGCCGTTACCTCTCTCCCATTATATAGGCCACTGTAACTTCCGGCATTTGCTAATTGTTTCCTAACAAAGAGGGCGACCGATTTTTGAACAAAATCCGAATTTTTAACGTGGAAAACAACTAAATTTTTATGAGTGTGCAGTCATCTCAAGGCCATTACGCACCTAATGACGTATCAAACATACCCCTAGGATAGGCCTCCCGAACCCCCCAAACCCCCTTTACCCCCCTCCGAACCCCCGAATCCCCCTACAGAGGCGCTCCAACCCCCCCTAAAAACCCCCTCCGAACCCCCCTAGTTAGGGGGGTTAAGGGGGGGGGGGTTCGGGAGGTCTACTACTGGAACACGCCGACGGAAGGTGCATGCAACGTGCCAGACAGACACTATTTGTTATATATAGTAGGATAGCGGCTGCGTTTCTACATTGTTGTTAACTAGTCATAAGCATGAAAACTTTACAAATTTTAATTAAAAATTTATTTTTTTCGAGCCAATTTGGTTTTTTTCACGTGTCTATGATATTATAAAACCAATGAAGAAACGTTTATACACAAAACGAGATCAAAACAAATAAAGCGTTTTTGGTTATTGGACGAGGCGGGACTAATTATTACTTTCCGCCTATGCTTATCGATGATATAAAGTGTATTTTTACAGTTTTTAGTAGCTTTTAATTGCTAGAAAGTCCCAAAAACTATTTAAAAAAATTTTAAATCTAAAAACGTTGGATTTTTCGCCACTTTTTATAACTTTTTGACCACAAAATTTTCTTGCAAATAAATGCAATAATTTCCGGCAGGACTGCGCGTAGAGATAAGCTCCTTCAACGCAGTGTCGGTCCCGCAAATTTCTGGTGCAACGCTTTCTGCCCTAGCTTCTTATCATATATGATGAAAATTATAATTTTAGCAACGGGTTCCGTCACTCCCATCATCAATCGAGTTTTGTAGATCGATTTATCGATCGACCCCCCCCCCCTGGTGGCTCCCTTTTTTACCTTGTTTTTTGACGCCATCTGGAAGAGCATGATCGAATTAGTAGGTTGGCACTATTTTGAGAATTTTAAAGTTTAATTTCGGGATTAAATCGGCCGTTGAAGTTGCCGCCAGGAAAAATTTCGCTCAAAACTTACTGCAGTGCGCGGGATCCATAAAAACGGCTTCTTTAAAGGGATGCCGACGGCATAGTCAATCGATTACGCGCGGGAAAGGAAATGTCGCTGCGGCTCTCCCCTGGGCGCGCTCTCTGCCCTGTTAGCTACTTGCCAATTTGTTGATGAGGGGGGATCGACACATGCCGTCCGCAGCCCTTTAACCCCGAAATCGAACTTTTAAGAAATTCTAGTGCCATCCTCATAATTCGATCATGCTCTTCTTCCAGATGGCGTCAAAAACAACGTCGAGAAAAACTGTGCCAAGCCATGTTCGGGCCTCACGAATTAAACGAAATTTTAAAGGCTACTTTTGAAATGTTTTGGCTGACCTCAATCCTCAATCATTGCACAATGGATCCTAGTGGGTCAATAGCTGGTGCGTTTAGCACCACCACCTTTGCCCCCGTGTAACCGATTAATTTATGCGGACGTTTTCCCCCTTTAAGCCGCTCTGCACTTTGTGGTCTCATCTGACTTTCTTTTACCCATGGTCGATCGCGAAGCAACCAGGCCTTGACAACGGGCCGGGCCGGGCCGGGCCGAGGCCCGGAAGCCGGGCCCAGCCGACCCCAGGCCCGGCCCGGCCCGGCCCAAAAGCCAAAATCCAAGGCCCGGCCCGGGCCGGGCCGTCGGGCCCGGTCAGACACCTAGGGTCAGAGGGGGTCAAAAAAAATTTTTCCACTAAGACCCAAGTTTTTTTAATCGAAGTATAACGACAACTAATAACTATCAACTATTCTTATTTTCTAACTATTAATAAACATAAAAACATTAGAAACTGTATTTTCAAAATAAAAACATGCCGGATCCGGCCAATGGTAAGCTCGGATAACCATTATTGACCGTTTTGTAGATGCATTGTATAGTTTTTTTGGTGAAATATCGAACTATGGTTTTCAGAGCCCCTTTGGATAAACGAAGTTCGGTTAGAAATCATGCAAGAAGTGTCTTCTAGTCCATTCAGGCATAAAAAAATCACAATTCCCGGCCCTACTAACCTAGCCTGCAACTCCCGGAGCAAAAAAAAATTGAAAAATAGGGTTTAGAGCCAAAAAATTAACAAAAAGAACCTAAAAAAGTTGGAAAAGTTTCGAAAAATTCCGAAAAAAATTGAAAAAATCACGATTTTTGGCCGAAAATTCGCAAAAATGGCCTAAAAATCATCAAAATCGGGCCCGATCCGGGCCCGACGGGCCCGGCACAGAAACCCGGGCCCGGCCCGGCCCGGCCCGGACCCCCAAATCCAGGCGCCCGGGCCCGGCCCGGGCCCGCCAGACCTTCGGCCGGGCCGTGAGGCCCGGCCCGTTGTCAACCCCTGGAAGCAACCAATTCTTTTCTGTTTCAGCTCAATCAGGACGACCATGAGCGACGCTGAAGTGAGCGGCGACGAATCGTAGGTGTTTTCCGTTGTTGAGTGAATGTTCCTAGCACAAAGACAGATGACGAAAATGAGGTGCTGACAAAGGAACTCGAGAATGAAGGGCTAATGGAACCCATTGGGAGTGGGGCCCAGGGTAAAGTGTGGCGATTAAGCGGAAACCATTCGTGAGAAACTTTGTAAGAATCAATAAAAACTTACAGAGGGATGGTGGTGAAGAAAGTGGTCGTGGGAAATGGTCGCTATAAAGAAGAAAAAATTCAGTGCTACCGGAGGGAACGACGGATAGTAATGGTACCACCCATCCAAAATAATGCGGCCGGATATTAGAAACTTGAGCATGAAAATATAGTTAAATGTCATGAACTGCCTATCAATTACGCTCAACTGAATCGTCTCCGGATCATTTGTATGGCATACTGTGAACATGGTTCTTTGCGGAATGGTAGTTTTTCAACATCTTTCAGCAGCCAATTTTTAGTTATCGATGACACTACATTTATTTATACGATTACGACAATTGCCAAAGCGGGGGAACAGATGTTCAGCGGCCTCGAATATCTTCAACGCCAGGGTATTGTGCATAATGATATCAAACCAGTTAAGTGAGACAGTGAAAGATAATGTTTATCTATGCATTAATGCTTAGCTTATTTTTGCATGGCTATGAATACACTCTGATATTGGGAGATCTTGGCAGTGCATGTGATCTGAGCAGGGACGAAATGGGCGGTCCCACAACCACAGCCTATATGGCACCGGAAGTACATAGCGGGGTCATACTGTGTGGAGAAGTTTGAACAAAACTTATATCCACCTATCACTAGTAATTTAGGCTGTTTATAAACGCGATGTTTATGCAGCTGCGCGTGTTATCATGTATATGCTTAACAGAGGGTATGCATCGATGGCCGAAGTATCGAACTATTAGGTTTTAGTGAGCTATGCGAATCTGATATTATATGGAAAGATAGACCTCACTTGGATGAAATGAAAAGGCTCGTCATATGGCAAGTTTTCTACCGTATCTGGTTGAATTTATGCTCTCTGTCAGCTGTCATCTACCTGATGTAATGAAACGATTTGGTGCAGAACAAGCGAAGGAGCTATGCCAAAGAATCGTCATGGTAGGTCATGGCTGCGCTCTAGGGCGCTCTCCCAGTTGGGGACGAGAACATATCGGAATACTGGTTATGGCATTCGAATGTTGAGTAAGCGGAGAGTTAGTTAGGTAGCAGGATCGGACCTATTTTGTTCTTAAAACTCTCCAGGCAGCCTGAAAAATCCATGAAATCTTGCCGATTGTCTTAATGGGGGCGTTCTCTTGTGTCCATGCCAACATAATAATCAAGTTAATTCCAGGAATACAAGCAGTGGCACCCGAAACCATATCGAAACCAATCCAGCAAAGGGCTGGTGCAACCGATTGGCTTGGATGGAGAGGCAGACACTTCTTTCCGGCATTATGCGGACTCCACAGCGACGAGTTCTGGTGACTCAATCGAGTCTCCAGGGCTTGACATCGAAGTCACTAATGGAAACGGTATATCATCAGATTTGTCATGCAGTGGTGAATCGACCGGCCACTTGCCGTTAAAAATCCCCGAATGTTGGCCTAGGCCCATCCCGCCAATGTTGGAGATAGTCAGAAAAAGCTTAAGACGTGCTGAGAGCGCCAAAAACCTTTCGAGCGAAACCGTTGAATATCAGTATAAGCGCTATCGGATCTGCCCCGATTACGCTGCTGCCCCTGATGGGAGTATTGGGTGTATCCGAACCACACTGGTTGCCCTGGAATCGCTTAGGCGAGAGGTCCGGCCCCGGAAAATTCTTGACGAATTGCTTACATTCGCGGAAAACGAACAACATGATGCTGCTGACGGAATTGAGCGATATTTGAAGAACGAAGCTCCCGATTTATTTAAACACTATAATGACGGTTGGCTTTTTGGCGAAGCCAGAATCAAACCTGAATTACTCAGCATTGTAGACAAGTTTAAATTGATGACCAAGATCTATGCATGGGATCGACTTCTTGCTCATGCCAATGCTGTTTGGACGTTGGTTGAAACGGACCGTGTACTTGATACACTGCCAATCTGGGATCACGTGCAACTTCTTGCGCATGGCAAGAATGACATGTTCGAATTAACTAAGCTAATTGGAGTGAGGCCGTCCTATCCTTTGGTGACTTTGGGAGGAAAAACATGGTTCCATTTCGAACTCATTGGCACTTTGCTACGACAAGATTGCAGCGTAACTCGGAGCTATGAATCCGGCTCAGGGGATCTACCTTATGAAGATACTGAAGAGGAGTGGCCTTTGGACAACACGCAGCTTTTTCGCGTGCTAAGCGAAGTTCTCGAAAAATACCAAAGAGAGGCGCCTGGACAATTGCATTATTTGGACAAATTTCCATCTTCATACAACACGGCGAATCTATTGGTCAACCAAGAAACGTTTCCGGATCAGCCATTCCCTGGATATATCTTCCTGTACGGCTCCCCTCCAACATCACATCAATGCCCTAACCGGGACTGCGAAAAAACTGGCGGATTTCCGACATGGGCGGAGTCGGAATGCCAAGTAAAGTATTACAATTGTTCCACACTCAACCAAATAGCTTATATTGGGGATTATACGTTGATGATACGAGCCCTAAAATACATCGGGCGATGGCAGATTCGCGATATTTGGGCTCATCGCTTGCTTCCGGAGCTGATACGTGAAATTGGAAATCTTAAAGAAAGACCTTGGAAATTCTTATTTGCCTGGATGCAACTGAAAGATGGTTCTAATGGGCTTTTGTTTCAATATCATCAAAAATCGCAAAAACAACCTCTCGATCAGGCAACTTTTGTCACCCAGAACATGCTACTTATCTCTTCGGAGCAGAAAGGTGCCCTCCTGCAATATGTCCCTGTACTGCTAGAAGATCTATTACCCATGCTTGCCGCGATGAGAGATTATTACAAAAACGACGATGGTGAGCGCTCGTTAATTGACTGAGAGATGTGGGTTTAGACACTAGTGATCCCACCACCATCATGCCCCCATTAATAAAGAAGTTTTGGCAAGTAATCAGGTTATTCCGACAACTAGTGCTTTTCACATTTTGTTTTCAGGGCGAGGCTACGCGCAGAGTCTCCAATTGGTCAATGAACTCAACTGGTTGCTGTGCTGGGTGCGATTTTCATGTCGGTTGCCGGTTTGTCGTTCTATCAACCCAAAGTATCCTACTATATATAAAAAAATAGTGTTTGTGTGTTTGTGTGTGGACACTTTGCATAAATGGCTCGAAGAAACCGGGTTACCAAGATATCGGGAAGGGGGAAGAGTTTTAGGACCGGGTCGAAAGGTATTTAGGGGTAGTCGAGGGCGTAGATTACTGCAAGCTTATCAGTTTTTTAATAAAATGACGATTTATACCTTATTTTAGCGATTTAATAACATATGGAAATAACCTCATTTGCATAAGAGGCGTTAGGAAGCTCATTTCGGTTTTTGTCACGCTCTCAGTCGGTCGCTTTGTGCTTATGAGGGTTGAGAGGTTGGCGCTAATTCGCTAGAATTATGCAAAGTGCCCAGCGTCGAGAGATCTCCGGGCAAAGGCCAGAGCTGAAAAGCCGCGTAGCGGGTTTTCAACCCTGGTAGGTTTCTAAAAACGCGCGAATTCCCTCCAACGTATTGCTAATGGGTCTGGGCGCTCGAGAAGCTCGAACCCGATCCGCAACACCATTCATTAAAGGGATACCGACGGCGAGGGCCCCTGATCGTCTTTTTGGCAAATAGCCAACAGGGCAGAAAACGCGCCCAGGGGCGTGACGTAGAGTAACTTTCTTGCCCTCGCGTCATCAATTACTTATGCCGTCGTTATCCCTTTAAGCTTCTTTTTCGGACTCGATCATTCACATTCTAGATGAGCGCCGGCTAGCTGTCCACAGAATCGTCCGCAGAGAAGCACACCGGATGCGAGAACACCGGAAAAATCTGATCTCTTTGAATTCGGCGGACCTTGCGCATAATTTTATCTGTACCTTGATCGAACAACGCTGGTTTTTTGCCATTGTATGTAATGAAGCATTTTCACCGACTCAGGGAGAAACCTGTTCTAGGTAATCTTTACGATTCCCTATCACTTATTCGAAAATACTCCGTTCGAAAAATTGGCATGTGCCTGGAAAAAGCACCAAAATGCGAATATTTTGGAGCAACGGAACAAACAACGGATAGTTTTCGAACCGACGATCGGATTTCGAACATAGACACATGGTAAAAATACTTCAAAGCAAAACAGGTTAGCGGGCTACGCCCGCTAACTCCGATATCATGCCACCATCGCGCAAAGACACAGTCCTATGACACCATCCCGAAAGATTTGCAGAGAAAAACGTCGTTTACATAGAAAACTAGCTCTTTTGGCTCACTGGCAGACCTTTTGGTAATCGTGCCTTTCCGGGCTGGCGTCCATTTTCTTGTTCTTATTTCGCTTTTCAGAATCCAAATTTCAAACTTTAATACTTATAAAAACGCAAAAAAAATTGTGGTGGCCAAATCAGGCCGGAAAATTTTGGCCCGTCGCCGATAAGCCCCAAAATTAAATTTCTATACTTGCGTTATTCTTCAGGGGGGTTTTCAGTGCGATTCGATAGCGAATCTAAAAATATCGCGATTGTCTGAATGACAGTTCAAAAAACCTCATCTAAACAGTTATAGCAAAATAAAAAATAACCTCTGAAAATTAAGTTTCAATGCGTGTTTTCGATATCTTCGGGATTTTTCAGTCTTTTGAAAACGTCTTTTAACGGCTCTACTCCAAATGAGAAGGGGGCAGCCACCGTTTGCACATTTATAACTTTTCTCCCTTTCAGAAGGCGATCAATAGATACCGAAATGCGTGGTGCAAGTCTTTCCCAGGCCCGTTATCTACTCGGCTGAGCGAGAGGACCTCATTTTCGCCGCTCGACGCAAACAGATTTTATTTCGAAAGTAAAACGTTTCTTTCAGGATGACGATGATACCGATTGCCGATGACGCATATGATAAAGTATGGTTCCTGCCAGATACATCACCGTAGGTCATTTGGTTCCTAAAATTATACTTCAACCAACAGGCCAATGATTATGAAAACGACAAGGCCTCGCGATGACACCTACTCCTATTTGAGGGAATTAGAAAAATTGAAGGTTCAATACCATCTTGCGTGATCGCTCTCTCTCTATCTCGCTCTCGCTCTCTCTCTTTCTCTCCAAGATAATAGATCTTAGGAAATGTCACATGAAAACGTCGTCCAACATTATGATTCGCCAACCGAGTATCGCAGGGCAAGTTTGGACCACTTGATTTGCATGGAATACTGTGAGCATGGTTCCCTACTAGACGGTACCCTTTAGATTTCATAAAAACTGCTTTAGTTTTGAAAAACCCAGCAATTATCTATTCGATGGCAACAATAGCCAAATGGTCGACAGAAATGTTCAACGCCCTCAAATATATCAAAAGCAAGGGGATTGTCCATAATGCAATCAAGCCAGATAGGTCAGAAGATTGGGGATACGTAAAATTCGCCAATAGCTTATTCATATATGGCCATGATTATACCCTGAAATTGGGTGATTTTGGGATTGCTCGGGATTTGAAGACGAGTACAAATCTACGAGGCGGTACATACGGCTATATGGCACCAGAAGTATTGAATGGTGATGAAGTGAAGGGAGAGGTAAGAAAATCTTAAATCATATCTTCAACAACTTCTAAGGATGTTTATAAACGTGATATTTATGGAGCTGGATGGGTTGTGTTGGATATGATCAATAGGAATTCAGGGAAAAAACTTCTGCTTAAGAGTTATAGCAATCCAGGGAGCAAAGGGCGCGAGAACGTATGGAAGAATAGACCGCATTTGAATATTCTTAGGCGGCTTGTGGAAGGGTAGGCTGCCTTCAAAACTGTGTTTGTTATAACACCTCCAACACTTTATTTCAGATGCACAGAGCGTGACCCGTGGCAGCGTCTTAACGTAGAGCAAGCGCTGGTGCTATGCGAAGCGGCTGCAAGGGTGAGCATATCTTTGCAAAACATATTCTAGGCCAATTCCAGGGATTCGTGAACTATCACGCCAAACCATTCCAAAACTCCTGCCAGGAACGGCTGATACCATCAATTCGATACGCCGACGAGGGAGATGAGGCACATTCAGACACCGAAGAGAAGATAGGATTTCCGGAATTATTGAGTGTCGCCGATTCGATCTTTAGTAGTCGATCGTTTCTTGACGAAAAGCGGCCGCAGATGAAGCCTGATCAACGAGACCTTTTGCTACGGCATCTGATAAAGCTCTTGGAGAGCTCGCCAAAATTCGAAGGAAACCTTATTAAAAGGACTTTAAAACCTAAAAACCTATCCTGCTATAAAACCAGAAACCAGCTGTGCAGCGAAATTCTCGAAAAGTTGTCAGGATTTTCGATTGAGGATCAATATGAATATGCGAATGAGATGGAGTGGTTTTGGAAAGGCGAAGCTTTGGCCTTCACTGGAGCTGCGGATCTTTCAGAAAGGAGCCGCACGAAACCAAGGATGATCAGTTCTGCCGAAAAGCCGGAACGTCCGGCAGTAGAAATCTTAGACAAGTTTAAGCTGATAGTTGAGAAAGATTCGTTGCAGCAAGGCATTTGTCAATGCGTGGGCATTAAAATCTTAGCGGAAGTGGAACGGGAAACACTTCCCCATTGGGATATGATACAACTACTCGGTCAGGCAATTCATGACATCCAAGAACTTGACAAACTCTTTACAACAAGAGCGATCTATCCAATTGTGGCCATTAAGGGATCACGATATCCATGGTACTTAATAGAAGAACCTGGAACATTCCTACGGAAAGATTGCACAGAAACTCGCGTCTACAACGATAAGTCGTGGGACCGAGCCTACATGCTTACTGGAGATTTGGAGCCACTGAATAATGAACAGATTCTAAGGGCATTAACCGAGGCCCGCAGATATTTCGAAACGAAAATAAGGCGTCAGCACGCCTTATTTGAAAAGGTTCCTCAACATATCCGTCCTTCTTTTTGGCAACACACTGCTCAAACGATGCAAGCAAGCCTGAACAGTTCTGATCACTCCGGCCTGTTTGGCCAACTATATTCATCTCCCGATCAACCATTTCCTGGCTATTTCTTTCTCAGCGGAGTCCCTCCAATGCATGCATGTCTTAAAGAGCAGTCTGGTATTGCTGGTGGCTTTCCAGGATGGGCAGAACCTGAATTCCAGGTCCATTATCACCAATGTTCGACAAAAGATCAAATTGACTATATTGAAAGCTATACTTTGATGACTAGGGCCATGCAATACATTTCACGGGGTCTATGTGATTCTTGGATTAAAGACTTGCTCGATACATTGATCTGCGACATTAAAGCAAAGGCAAGACCGTGGAATTTATTTTTTGCGTTGGTGGAAATGAATGCCAGCTCCAATGCGTTGTTGTTTCAATCCCACAAAACTAGGAACCTGGGAACCTACGTTACAGAAGCTATGAAACTCAAGTACTCCGCGGAAGCCGTGAAGTTCTTGCGATTTGTACCGGTGCGCATAGCCGATCTTTTACCAATGCTGGTTGCCATGTCAAACTCCGAGACAGACGGCCCTCCCGATGGAATGCGGACCTTGATCGACGAATTTTGGGGGAAAGTCATGTAATTTTGAGCCGATCGACCTGAATGGTGTTTTTTAGGGCCGATGAAACGGTGGAATCGGAGGTGAGTCGGCAGATGGCGGAATACGTTTCAAAATCGCCCTAAGCGTCCATAACCTCAACTCCGCCAACTGGATTTGAAACTCATTCCTATTTACCTGTGCAATAAAAAGTCGCGCGAACACACTACTAAAAGCAATATCTATATAATTCAGCATTCATTCAGCCGCGCATTGGTGGCACGAATTTTTTAGAAATTTAGGATCCTGGTTCGTATGTGAGATCTCACTTTTCCACCCTTTTCTCCGGACTATACACTCCAAACTTTCGATTGGAAACGCATTTTAAAAATACGCCGATTTTGCAGTCTGTTTTAAAGGGAGCGACACATATTTTCCACCAGACTACACCTGACTTTTCGGCTCCGCCTTTTTCTTTGAGGTATTTCTTCGAATAACAACATTTCTCACCAAATTTCTCTAGCCTTGTAGGGGGCCATTCCTTCATTAATCTGTAGTCTGGTGGATACGACTAATCATCTCAAAGAGAGACAGACAGAGAGAGAAAGAGAGAGAAAAAGAGAGAAAGAGAGAAGAGACACACAGACAGACAATTCGAATGATACGCGCTATCTTCACCCCCGGGACTCCAATCCATCCCTTCTTTCCCTCCAATATGAACACCTTCTTCGGCTCTTTTCCGCTTTCAGAGTTATGATTTCACCCCGAAAAGCTGTGGCCATTGATTTTGGGCCTAATTATACTTTATTATTCGTTTTCCGTTTTGTTTTACATTGATTTCCAGAAATGTCAGTTCTCTCAAAATTGGGCACGGCGACGTCGGGAATCCCGTTGAGCCAGACGGCGCCTTGTATTGCCGGATTGGCCGCGATTTTGTCGATATGGAAGCTGTATGGACCGGGAATTGCGAAGTAAGCATTGAAAATATTTTTAAAACCGCTAATTTGCTAAAATCTATTAATTTACAATCCTTTGGAGCAAAAAGCGAGCTGTCACATCCCACAAAGTATTTTAATGTTTTTTTTTAGTAAATTTAGATAATTTATCAAGTCCAAAATTCATCTAGAAAATTCAAAAACCACTCAAAAATCCGAAATTTTGGCTGAAAAATCGATATTCCGGTATTTTTTTTCGAGAAATAAACCTGGAAACGTTACATAGAATAGAATACAATATTTAATTTGGTTGGTTCTCTAGAATTTATTTAATTTTTAGAAGCAAAAAGCGAGCTGTTGCGACGAAAAGCGGTAAATCCGGCGCCGGCGATCGAGCCCATGTGAATGGCGAATTTTTCAAGAGACTTCGCGGGATTTTGAGGATTTTGATTCCACGACTGTTTTGTGGAGAGGTCAGTTATTCAGAATCCACCCTAGAAAGACAGTTTATAGACGTTTTACATGGTGCTGATTGCCATTTCGCTTCTCTGCCGTACTTACGCTGACGTATGGATGATTATGACGTCCACAAAGATTGAGGCGTACGTTTTTTAATCAACTGAGAGCTGAAAAATACATTAAAAATTGTTTTCCTCAGTTTTTTTGCCAAAAATCAACAAACCGTGTAAAAACGGTTTTTTTCTAGCTTAGAAAATCTATAAAACATGTAATTCGCCCTATTTTAGAGCAATCATCGAGCGTGACGTGGGTGAATTCGTGCGTAGCGTCATGTCGTACATCCTGGCCATGCCCGCGATCTCTGTCGTCAATGCCCTACTGAAATTCTCGCTCTCCGAGCTGAAACTACGCTTTAGAAGCCGGCTGACAAAGGAATTGTATCAGAAATATCTGAAGTAAGTGATTACACAATTTCCGTAAAAGCGATACAAAATAGGGGCTTCACCTTCTACAAAATGTCGAATCTCGACAACCGGATCGCCAATGCCGATCAATTGTTGACACAAGATGTCGACAAATTCTGCGAGGGTCTCGTCGAGTTGTACAGCAATTTGTCTAAGGTATCAATTGGTTTTCGTAATTTTCACGATATTTAGAGCCCAAAAACCTACCTAAAAAACCTAGAAACGATTCTTAAAATTTGAAATTTTGATCGAAACCGGTGATTTTTGGATGAAAAAAATGGTTGTTGGCGGTTTTTTTATAAAAATGTGATTTTTTTTAGCCATTTTGTAGTATTTTTAATAAATTGAACTATATTCATTTGCAAAGTCTATCTATAAAACTTAAAAATACTTTAAAATTTGAAATTTTAGGAAAAAAACCGGTTGTTTTGTCGAAAAATCGGTTGTTCGGTAAAAAATTGACTCTTTAGGACCCCCGATAATGCAAAAGTACCTAAAAACCTTATTCCAGCCGGTAGTCGACGTTGCGCTGTACGTCGGGAAGCTCGGAGGAGCCCTGGGTTGGCAAGCCCCAGCCATGTTGGGCTGTTATCTTCTCGCTTCCGGCGTTTTCCTCACAAATCTCCGAAAACCGGTAGGTCCAAAAATTCCCAAAGACACGTGAACCCGTTCAGATTGGCCGCCTTACCGTCGAAGAACAAGGGCTGGAGGGCGAATTCCGTTTCGTGAATTCTCGATTGATCATGAATAGCGAGGAAATAGCCTTCTACCAGGGGCAGAACAGGGAGAAGACGACCATTCTCTCTTCATTCGATGCCCTCGTTGCCCATTTGAGAAAAGTCATTCTATTCCGTTTTAATATCGGATTTGTTGACAATATCGTGGCCAAATATTTTGCGACGGTTGTTGGATGGTCAGTTTAAAATCTAAACCTTTTTAAAAGCTAAAAAGCGCTATAATTCGGTACTGGAGTGTTAGCGGGGGAGGGACTAATTTTTGCTTATTTCCGTCATTTGAATAAGATAGCTATTTTCTAGTGTTTTTAGTAGTTTTGATTGCCAGGAAGTTCAAAGAATATGCTCAAAATCTGAAATTAGCAAATTTTGACCTTTTTCGGTCCTTTTTCATTCATTACTGACCAAAAGCCCCCGTAATTTTCGGAATTTTTCAATGTTGTCAGCTTTTGACATGCGGAACTAGTGTGTTTAGTAGTTTTCTCTGGCTAGAAAGTTATAAAAATAGTTTAAAAAATTTGAAATTTGAAACTTTTGACTTTTTGACCAAAAGTCCGTAGTTCCCCCTGCAAACAGACCGGTACCAGGTTTTCTTGAATTTTTTAAAGCTAGGCTTACACGAAAAAAACGAATAATTACCTCTAAAACTGTAGGTTTGCCGTCTCGCGGGCCTTTTTCGACCTGAAAGACGAGAGAATGATGGCGAAGAGCAAGAATGAATTGATTCAGGTGAGAAAAGAGGCTAAAATTCTAGTTTCTCTCGTTTAGGACTACTACAACTCGGGTCGAATGATGTTCCGATTGGCCGAGGCATTGGGAAGATTGGCATTGGCTGGAAGGGAAATGACACGACTCGCCGGCTTCACCTCAAGAGTTGATGGGCTGATTCGAGTGCTCGATGATCTCGATAAGGGTATGGAATTTTGGCTGAAATTCTGAGTTCTAAACATAAAAACTTACAAATTTTAGGTAAAACTAGAAAATATCGAGTTTCGACCAAAATATGATTTTCTAGTTTTTCTCAGCGCCGTTTTTATTGTACGTGTACGAAGCTAAATTTTGCCAAAAACAACATTAATTTTTTATGAATGTTTCATGGATTTTTAATTCACTGAACTGTTTTGTAAAAATTCCGAACGGAAAAGCGTACAATTTTTTTGTAAAATTCTTTAAAAAATCGATTTTCGACAAAACTTCAACTTTTAGACATTTTTTAATTTTTTGTGTCGATGTTCCGCCGGACATCAAGTTAAATTGATTAAAATTATCGGTAAAGTAGTTTCGTACAAATTACTAGGCGTCTCTGGACCCCCGATAATGCCAAAGATCCAAATCTAATCTCTTTTGTTCCTAGGTTCCTACCAACGTACAATGGTATCTGATCAATCGTCCACATCGGGCGAAAATCAAACCCTAATCAATTCATCAGCAGCTGGCTCGGGTAGGTCTCTAATAGAACTGCTCTTTTTCACTCGATGCAGGCCAGTTGGTGACCGAAGACAATGTCATTCGATTCGAGGCTGTACCCCTTGTCACTCCAAATGGAGATGTCCTCGTCAAATCACTCGATCTCGAGGTACGTCAACTACAACTGGGTTAAAGTTGCGCAAAAAACTGTAAAATAAACCATTTCAAACACGTTCAGGTGCCCTCCGGGACGAATGTGCTGGTTTGCGGGCCGAATGGATGCGGGAAAAGCTCTCTATTCCGTGTTCTCGGCGAGTTATGGCCTCTTTTCGGGGGAAGATTGACGAAACCGGCAAAGGGGAAGCTCTTCTACGTTCCACAGGTTGGCAAAAAAAATCGTGAACCCTAAAAAAACTCGTAAATACCTAAAATATCGATTCTAGAGACCCTATATGACGCTGGGAACGCTGAGGGATCAAGTCATCTACCCCGACAAACATTTCGACATGCTCAAGAAGGTCAGGAAAGCTGTAGAAGCTGAAATTACATCTTTTTAGGGAATTCGGGACGAGGACCTCGAGGAAATGTTGGAGAACGTGCAGCTGGGCCATATTTTGGCGCGGGAAGGAGGATGGGAGACGACACAGGATTGGATGGATGTTTTGTCCGGAGGGGAGAAGCAGAGGATTGCCGTGAGTTCTATAGCACGGCAAACTGAAGACATGTAGATGGCCCGCCTGTTCTACCACCGGCCCCAATTCGCGATTCTCGACGAGTGCACTTCGGCAGTGTCAGTAGATGTGGAGGGGGATATGTACAGGCTGTGTCGTGAGAAGAATATCACTCTATTCACCGTTTCCCACCGCAAATCACTATGGGTGAGTGCACTCATGGAATACAACTCTACGAATTTATAGAGAAAAATTTGCGAAAACAAAAGACTCAATTTTCCACCAAAATTTTAAATTTTTCCACATTTTTAGGCAGTTTTTAGCACTTGAAGGCTACGGTTTACTTTACCCCCCCCCCCCAGCCGGAAGTTTTTGACTATAACTTTTTTATTTTACATTATTGTAGGCTCAAATTAAAGCTCTTAGTATATTTTTCGACGCTCTATCGAATGGCGTTGCTAAAATCCCGACAAAATAAGCGAAAATACCGACAACTTTGAGACCCTTCGGCTGTGGGGGCGGGGGGGTAAAGTAAACTGTTATCCACTTGAACTATAGTTTTCTACTGGGTTTGATATTCCTAAACGTAAGTTTTACTAAAACACATAAAAATAGATTTGACCCAAATTTCAGATTTTACGCATTTTTCTACGTTTCTAGATAGTTCATGCCTAAAAAGAGTTAGATTTACTACCCCCTCCCCACGCTAGTGCAAAAGAACCCATCCACCCTTCAGGTTCACCACGAATACTACTTGTATATGGATGGACGCGGGAACTATCAGTTCAAGAGGATAGAAGAGGGCACCGAACATTTTGGCTCGTGAATTGACGCTACACTACACGCCAAACAACACCCCTCCAGTCACACACACATTCCGTGCTCTAAATATACGCATTTCGGTGAAATATCGATTGAATAATGAATGGTCGTAATTTTATTGTTGACACAGGAAGAGAGAGAGAGACTGGAATTACGAAGATTTCGATCACAAATAGAAGGACAGAGGGCACTAGAATGGATGAATAGATGGACGAGTGCTTGACAAACGAGAAATGAAGCCAGAGATTTTTCTAGTCGAGTTCCATATCGTCTCCATCATCAGTCTTTCCCCTCTTCGGCTCTGGCTCGCGCGTCTCTTCCGATTGCGTATCCATCGTGTCGTCGCTTGTCGAGGCACCTAAATAAACAAAACATTAAAATATACAAAAATTCGCTTTTTTCCAGATTTCTACTTTTCTCAGGATCCAATTTTATAAACTAGAGTAAGTGTTTGTAAACTAATTTTTACACATCCTAAACCTAGAAAAAACCCATAATTTTTGAAACAAATAGATTTTTAAGCCAAAAAGTCAACTTTTTAATGTTTTTAGACAGTTTTTCTAGTCGAAATATACAGCGAAACGTTGCCAAAACACTATTTAAACATTGCTAGACATAAAAAACTTCGTCCCCCCGTTAATGCATAAGACCCAAAAATTGTTACCTTCCTTCTTCGGGGCCTCCTTGTCGGTGAGCGTCGTCGCGAATTTCAGGATATCTAAACAGACAATTTTTTGAAAAATTGAAGAAGACTGACCACCACTGGACGCGGCCTGAACGACATCATCGGGAAGGCCAAACTGCTGAAGAACAGGGCCAATCTGTCCACTGGCAAACGCGTAGTTGAACACGCCGACGGCTTGTTGGAAGGTGGGCTGGGAGGGGGTGTCGACGACTTCTTGCTTCGAACTCGCCTCTGCCTCTGGCACATCGTCCACCAGGATCGAGTTGGCCACGAATTGTTCTGGAAATACGGAATTGAATAAAAATAAAAATTGGGAGCTTGTTTAATAGCGGGGGGTCTAGTATCTACGCCGAATTGCGTTTTTTTTTGTTCAAGTCAGCTATATTTCGAGGTGAAAATTAGGCTTGATTTACCTTTATGGTCCTCGCCCGAAAAGTGTTTTTTCGGGTCGGAATCGATCTAGAAATGATCAAAATGTAGTTTTCAGTGAAAAAAATGCGCCGGAAAGAAGTCTTTAAGGGCCAAAAAGACCTTTTTTGCTAAAATTCGGGGACCATAAAAGGGGGTACGGGGGTATGTCGTTTATGGTCCTCGGCTAAAATCCATTTTTTCTCGTCGGAAACAATCCAGAAATGTTCAAAATATCGTTTGCAGTTCAAAAAAAGCGCCGGAAAGACCTTTTTAGCTGCAAAAATTATTTTGGTACAAAAATTCATTCAGCCCAGTTTTAGCCTAAAAATAAGGCTTCGTGCCACCGGGGGCCTAGTCGCTTCGGATGGGTGCGAGCTCGTACAGGGTTTCGAAATGGGGGCGCCACGGCCGGCGAAGCGGCCGGGGGCGCCCCCATTTCGGAAGAGTGGAGCGGCAGCCCATCCGAAGCGACGGCCCGCCTTGCCTGACAATGCTACGTGCCGCACCTTGTTCAGAAGCCTTGGGCGACCACGAACATCTTTCCGGCACTTTTTTTCGAAGTATTATGAATTTCCAACAATTAGCTATTGATTTGGTAAAAGAAAAAACACTTTTCAGGTGGGGACCATAAACGACATACCCCCATACCCACTTTTATGGTCCTCGAATTTTTAGCAAAAAAGGTCTTTTTAGCCATTAAATCCTTCTTTCCGGCGCATTTTTTTCACCGAATATGACATTTTGAACATTTCTGGATTGTTTCCGACAAGGAAAAATGGATTTTAGCCGAGGACCATAAACGACATACCCCCGTACCCCCTTTTATGGTCCCCGAATTTTAGCAAAAAAGGTCTTTTTAGCCCTCAAAAACTTCTTTCCGGCGCATTTTTTTCACTGAAAACTACATTTTGATCATTTCTAGATCGATTCCGACCCGAAAAATCACTTTTCGGGCGAGGACCATAAAAGCAAATTTTCCCGAAAATTATTTAAAAAACTTCAAAAGATGCAAAAAATTTGAATGTCGTAAAATGGCAAATTTTAGTAAAGAAATTGTATGTTTTGAAGTTTAGGAGCTGTCAAAAAGCCTATAAAACGCATAAAAGCAAAAAAAAAGTCGAGAAAAAAGTATAAATGCAAAATTATTCTCAAGAAAACGTAGAAAAACGTTTAAAAATTTGAAATTACGTCGAAAATCGATGTTTTTGCATTTTTGACACTAATTTGTACGTCTTTACGTTCAGAACTACTAAATCTAAACGCAAAATTACCGGAATTCTTCTCGAGGACCTGCTTCACTTCCTGGCCACGCAACACATCCGTCAGATCACATCCATCAGCCCGTGGACCGGCCGAAGCCATTCCGGCCACCAGTTGGCGCATCTTGTCATAATCGGCAGGGCCAGCCTTCGGCGTCGAATGGCCAGCAGCATCGGCGAGAACGGAAGATGATGAAGCATCAATCTCAGCCCCATCCGGTCCACCGTCAGCGCCCTCTTGAGAGGCACCGAACGAGTCGTCATTGCCCTAAAAATGCAAGAAAATAGTCTAAAATTTGAAACTTACCGGTCCCATGAGGGAGAGGAGCTGCATCAGCTGTCCCTGATCAAGCCCTCCAAAACTGGCGATATCGTCACGATTGAGACTGGCGGGAAGACGGGCACCCTTGCTGCCACTGCCCGTGAATGAGGAGAAGGCGTTTGGACCGGCGAATCGCTCGTGTGTGTTACGGCCGGCAGCCGATCGCTGGTGGGGCTGCTTGTTCAGGATGTCATTCACCTAAAAAAAGAGACAATTTTCGCTTTTACAATTTTATGTCCGTTTTGAACAAAATTTAACCAAATTTGAGGTAGAAAAACGAAAATGTAACGATTTTAGGCCGCAAAAAAACAACTTTTTGCCTAAAAAGCCTGAACTGGAAAGAAGCTGGTTTTCTGATACGAAAAGAGAAAAGATAAGTACATTTTTAAGTATAGGTAGGGCTAAAACGCTACAAAATTCTGTATTTACAGAGAAAACCGATCCAAAAGTGCCAAAAATTTACCTTCTCGCAGAGATCCTTCTCAATATCCGGCGTCCCATCCTGGATCCAGAAGAGACGGCGATCGGTGGACGTCTTGAACTTGAGGAGAAACACCTTTCCGTCGGTGCACTCGCGCACACGCATGAAGTCAGTGTCGCCGGGGAAGATGATCAGATCCTCAAAATCAAAAATATAGGACTGAATGCTCCAAAATGCCCTTACATCAACGACGGCGCCATTCTCCAAGTTCTTCCAGCAGAAATGAGTGAGCCCGTCGTTGGACTGCTTGATGAAGATCAGGCCTTTCGTCTTTTCGGGGACACACTAAAACAATGAAAATACGAGAAAGAGGGCTAGAAATTACCTTTTTATACCCGGGCTTGCTTCCGCCCTGCATGCTCAACTTTCCGGCCTTGATCTCGAGGAGATTGCCGTTAGCGCCGCCCTTTGTCGAAGTGGGGGTCGAGAACATGGCCGCCATTTTCTGAAATGAAAGGATAGAAGAAATTTAATATTATGAAAATAGAGAAAAACGGAATAGAAAAAGAGGATGACTTCTCGGATCGGACCCCTCGGGGCATCCCGTTCGATTACAATTGGGAAAGAGCCGTTGGAAGGAGGTCGTGCCGGGACCCAGCCGACTTCAAAAGGCAGCCAAAATAACGGTAATCCAAAAAGGTACTATAACTTACTACTACAATTTAAAATATTAAAATATTAATAAAAATGCGATAAGAAAGCGAAAAATCGAAAAAAGACACCGCCGTTACCCGTTGTACCCCATCAGGGTGTCTTTTTCTGAGAAACCTGGAAATATGCCTTCAAAACCACTTTATTTTCCCTTTTTCAGGTGATCAACGATGCTGACGAAGGCCTTCAACTGCCTCCATTGCGAGAAGCCGTTCGATTGCAAGGAGGGAGAGCCAAGGATGCCCATGTTCTCACAGCTTCTTAAACTCGTCTGGTGCCGCGCTTGTGGCCCAAATACTGCTAATGTGCCACAACGGAGTCTGATGGAATTCCTCAATCAGCCAGCATTCAAAAAGACGGCTGATGGCTATGAATACAACGCTCCTTTCAACGATCCAATCTGCTTCGGATGTCTACAGAACATTCAGGTGCTGGAGGGATGTAGCGCCTTTCCCGTCAACTGTGGCCATTTTCTTTGCCACGCATGTCATTTCCAGCGGATGGATGGAGTGGGCAGTTTCTGCAACAAATGCAAATTTACGGCGGACCGCTCGAAGTTCTATGCGGCGGACAGCAGATTGGCAGCTTTCTCGCATGACGTCAAAGAGGCTGCATTGAAGGCTAAATTGGATGAGCAAGCTAAGGTGAACAAAGCTTTGAAGTTGGAAAAGGCTCAGTTCGAAGCCTACATCCTAAAGAAGGAAGCAGCCCGAAAAGATGAGGGCCTGAAAGAATGTGGAGATTGTGGCAAGCAGCATCATGTGGAAAGTCTCTTACAATGTCAGGATCATAAGGCTATCGTTTGCGGTGCCTGCTTCTTCGAATCACATCAAGGACATTCCGTCGTTAAACTTCTCGGCATCGAGCTGGACCAGCTGGAGAAGCAGAACGATAAGCGATACACGGAAACGGTGGAAGGACTGCACGGTAATCTACAATATCTACAGAAAAATATCGACAATGCCGTCGACAAGGTTCTGCTTGCTGGAAAGAATCGACTGGCCACGATCACGAAATGTGGGAAATATGATGAGGCTCAAAAGGTCGTTTCGAGGGTCGAGGATGCGGCCAACAAATTCGAGAAACATTGCGAAGTCTACATTCCCGTGGCTCGCGAATTGGCCACTCGACTAGAGGAATTGAGCGAAGAATTGGTGCACGAGACTAAATAAAAATGCTTTCAAATTGTTATCCCGTTGTTATTGCTTTGAAATTGTTGTTAGTTGAATAAACATTGTCGAACTTTATCGAATCGATTAAATAATGGATAGATGACCGTGGAATTTTATAGTTATTCGTAATTTCTGATGCCATATTTATAACCATTTAGGCAAATGATTTTTAGTGTGTATGGTAGCTTTTCTTATTTTATGGCGTTCCCCTCGTTCTTTTTTGCTTGCGTCTTCTATCCATACCAATTCTCTGTTTTCAGGTAATCGCCTCGATGCTGACGAAGGCGTTCAACTGTCCGGATTGCGCGGCGCCATTCGACTGCAATGAGGGAGAACCCAGAGCCCCCTTCTACTCGATTCTTACCAGAATGGTATTCTGCCACAGTTGCGCCACGAACGTGAAAAATGTGCCACAACGGGGTCTGATGGAATTCCTCAATCAGCCAGCTTTCAAGAAGACGGATGATGGCTATGAATACACGGCTCCTTTCAACGATCCAGTCTGCTTTGGATGCGAACAGAAGATCAAGCTGATGGAGGGATGTAACGCCTTTCCAGTTCATTGTGGACATTTTCTGTGCAAAGCATGCAATCGGAAACGGATAGATGATATCTACAGTTCCTGCAACAAGTGCAATATGACGGCTGACCGTTTAAATTTTTATCCCGCGGACATCAGATTGGTCGTTTTCTCGTCTGAGATTGAAAAGGCTGAATTGAAGGCCCAATTGGATGTTCGAGATAACGAAGCAGCGACGGCAGAAACTCGCAAAGAATGTGGAAATTGTGGCAAGCAGTGCCACGTCGATAGTCTCTTACGTTGTGATGATCATCAGACGATCATCTGTGGGGTCTGCTTCTTCGAGTCACATCAAGGGCATTATGTCAGCAAACTGCTCAGCATCGAACTGGGCCAACTTGAGAGGCAAAATGCGAAGAGGTACACGGAAACGGTGGAAGGACTGCATGGAAATCTACAATATGTTCAGATAAATATCGACAATGTCGTCTACAAGGTTCTGATTGCTGGAAAGAATCGACTGGCCACGATCACGAAATGTGGGAAATATGATGAGGCTCAAAAGGTCGTTTCGAGGGTCGAGGATGCGGCCAACAAATTCGAGAAACATTGCGAAGTCTACATTCCCGTGGCTCGCGAATTGGCCACTCGACTCGAAGAATTGAGCGAAGAATTGGGGTACGAGACTTAATAGAAATGCTTTCGAATTGTTATCACGTTGTTGTTGCTTCGAAATTGTTGTTATTTGAATAAACATTGTCGAACTTTATCGAATCGATGAAATAATGGATGACCGGGAAATTTCATAGGTTTTTGAAATACGATGTGTTTACAAACTTGTTTCTAGCGGGTATTGCGCTTTTCTCTTCGTTCTCCTCGTGTTTTTTGCTTGCGTCTTATAACCATACTAATACTTTGTTTTCAGGTGATCGTCTCGATGCTGACGAAGGCGTTCAATTGTCCAAATTGCAAGAAACCGTACGACTGCAAGGACGGCGAGCCGAAAACTCCCGTCTACTCATACTCGGCTCGGTGCACCTGGTGCCGCGATTGCGGAAACATCTTCAATGTGCCACAACGGGGCCTGATGGAATTCCTCAACCAGCCAGCTTTCAAGAAGACCGAAGATGGCTATGTATACGCGGCTCCTTTCAACGACCCGATCTGCTTTGTATGCGACCATACGATCAGCGTGGCCAAGGGATGCAGCGCCTTTCCCGTCAAATGTGGCCATTTTCTTTGCGAAGGATGTTATCACAAAGAAGTCGTTTTCTGCATCGAGTGCAACGTGATGTCTCACGGCTCGAGTGTTTATCGCGCAGACAGCAGCTTGTTAGCCTTCCGGGAGCAAGTAATAAAAGAGGCTGTGTTGAAGGATCAGGTTCATGCTCCAACTAAGGACGACAAAAAGCTGAAATCCGTGAAGCCGGCGCCCGATGTGCACGTAGTAAAAGCAAAAAAAGGTCGAAAGGATGATACACTGAAAGAGTGTGGAGATTGTGGCAAGCAGCACGACGTGGATAGCCTCTTACAATGTCATGACCACAAGACGATCATTTGTGGCATCTGCTTCTTCGAGTCACATCAAGGGCATCATGTCGTCAAACTGCTCGGCATCGAACTCGACCAGATTAAGAAGGAACACCAGCAGAATTATACGAAAGCCGTGAAAGCAATTCATGGGAATGTACGATCTGTCCAGAAAAATATAGACAATGCCATCTACAAGGTCCTGAGTGCTGGAAAGAATCGACTGGCCACGATCACGAATTGTGCTCAATATGATGAGGCTCGGAAGGTCATTTCGAGGGTCGAGGATGCGGCCAACAAATTCGAGAAACATTGCGAAGTCTACATTCCCGTGGCTCGCGAATTGGCCACTCGACTCGAGGAGCTTGGAGCAGAATTGATGCAAGAGAAAAGTTGAAGATCTTTCGAATTGTTATCACGTTGTTGTTGCTTTGAAATTGTTGTTGGTTGGATAAACATTGTCGAACTTTATCGAATCGATGAAATAATGGATAGATGACCGGGTAATTTCATAGGTTTTTGAAAGACTATGCATTTACAACTGTGAATTTGTACTTAGGCATGGAATTGGATTTATTTCTAGCGAGTATCTCGCTTTTCTGTTCGTTCTCCTCTTTCTTTGACTTGCGTCTTCTATCCATACTAATTCTCTGTTTTCAGGTAATCGTCTCGATGCTGACGAAGGCGTTCAACTGTCCTCGATGCGAGAAGCCGTTTGATTGCAAGGAAGGAGAACCCAGGACCCCGTTCTACTCACACAAGCGTCAGCTCATCTGGTGCCGCAGCTGCGGCCCAAACTTTTTCAATGTTCCACAACGGGGCCTGATGGAATTCCTCAACCAGCCAGCTTTCAAGAAGACCGAAGATGGCTATGAATACACGGCTTCTTTCAACGACCCGATCTGCTTTGTATGCGACCAGACGATCAGCGTGGTCAAGGGATGCAGCGCCTTTCCCGTCAAATGTGGCCATTTTCTTTGCGAAAAATTTTACCACGAAGAAATCGATGAGAGCAACATTTTCTGTCTCAAGTGCAACGTGATGGATGACGGTTCGCGTCTTTATCCCGCGGACACCAGATTGTTGACATTCGGCGAGGAAATAAAACAGGCTGGATTTAAAGATCAGTTACATACTCCAAATAAGGCCGACAAAACGCGGAAATCCGCGAATCCGGCGCCCGATGTGCACGTCGTAAAGGCCAAAAAGGCTCGAAGGGATGATACACGGATAGAGTGTGGAGATTGTGGCAAGCAGCACGACGTGGATAGCCTCTTACACTGTCATGACCACAAGACGATCATTTGTGGCATCTGCTTCTTCGAATCACATCGTCAGCATGCCGTCGTCAAACTGCTCGGCACCGAACTGGACCAGCTGAAGAAGCAGAACGATAAGCGATACACGGAAACGGTTGAAGGACTGCACGGCAATCTACAATATCTACAGAAAAACATCGACAATGCCGTCGTCAAGGTTCTGATTGCTGGAAAGAATCGACTGGCCACGATCACGAAATGTGGGAAATATGATGATGCTCAGAAGGTCGTTTCGAGGGTCGAGGATGCG